GTTAAAAGACTGCTTTGAAAAGAATTTGCTGATTAACACTATCAGTGACCTATGTTTTAGGCTTAGTAGTAAACCAGTGGAGTCACTATTGAAATTACCAACATACAGAATTATAAGCCCACAAATGTAAGTAATTGCATGAACATTCCATCCCCTATGAAAGTTGGTTGTCACTGTATAAAAGGTCTATTAAACATGGAAAACAAATTATTTCTTTTGTATAAAACATATTTAAAGTTGTATAAATAATTCCATTCCTACAGTATTTTTTTTTTTTTTTTTTTTTTGTGAAGGAAAAAGAAATTCTCTCCATTAAAAAAAAATCATAGACAATTATTTGGTAAGGAAGAGTCAAAACAGTGTTTTGAAAGGCCATTTTTCAATCAGTAATAAATTGATGAATTTGATACCTAAATCATGAATTTTAGTCCTTGGGTGTTAATTTTACCAAATCGTATGTGGTGGTTGACCTATAGGCCTGAAGGTAAAGTAATTTGCTGACCGACTACCAACTCTGATTTCCAAATGCCACTGAGCTTGGGCAACAACAATTTTCGTACTTATGTGTTTTAATATGCCAAACTCTAATGTACACAACAGTCGTCGGCCGACACAGTTTTGTCGAGAACACAAAGCGTTGCAGGCACAACAAATCTTTTTTAATTGTGATGCGTTCAGGCTTCGCTGACAACCAGCAGACGACAACGTCTTGTGTACAGTAGCTATTGCAGGAGCGTAGTTAGATTCGTCGGTCGATGATTGTACGATAGTCACATGACGCAGTGTGTGCCCGGCTTTGGAATTTATAGCAGTGATCATAATAATTATGATTTGTAGATCTATATGTTAATACAGTACTAAATATATAATTATATAATAAGTTGCTACAATAATTATGTTTGTAATAGTGATGTGTACAAAATCTTAACAAAAATAATACTGTACAAATATTTAAGGTGTTTTCTAATGAATATAAAGAATGTATAAAGAATGATAATATTTAGATAATTATTAATGATAATATTTGTAAAATTAAAGTGAAGCCAAGAGTATATAGAACTTATATTGACAGTTTTGCTGTCTTTACAAGCGACTGCTTGGTTCTACCAAAGTAATCATGCTTTCATTCACATTGTATTCAGGTAGGATGAAATCAATCGTTTGTGAAATAACTGTTGGTGGGTATGTTTATTTTTGTATTTATTTCATTTCTATCTGTAGTCGCATAAAAAGTGCTCAGTGTGAACGAAAGCTTTATTATTTTTTAAAGGAAGTTTTTGGTTTTTTTTTTAGTCTGTAAAATGCTGTTTACCACATATCAATTCCTGTATATTTAGGCTAAGAAAGTTACCTATCATTTATCGCAACCTTTACCCTCTACAAACCAGATAAAACATTTTGCAACATATTAATAATCATTAATATGATAATTGGATTCGAAATGTTTAAATATGATGTGTAATATTTTTCTTAAATTGTGATTTGATTTATAACTTTAATCAGAAGCATATGAAAAAAATAGATGCATGTGCCATAGATGCATGTGCCATAGATGCATGTGCCATAGATGCATGTGCCATATCGAATTGTACAGCTTTTCTTCATAATGTATGGCACATTATTATATTATTATTATTATTATTGAGCCATGCATATTGTACTTCAAAACGCATGGCACATTATCACATTCTGCTATGCATCCTATATACCATGGACATACAATCTTATAAATAGGTTGCATGGCGCATTATTGTATTCTGCCACTCATTTTTATACTACAAAATAAATGGCACATTATTTTACTGTTCCATGTATTTTATACAGTACAACAAAATGTATGGTACATTATCGTATCATGTAATGCATTTTATACTGCAAAACGAATGGCACATTATCCTACTGTGTGTTAATAACAAAATGATATATAAGGGTGCTGTGTGGTTTGGGTTTGTTTTATATAAATTTATTCTCTTTTATAGAAAAGCAAAACTTATTCTACAATTTCTGATTAATTTTATATATCATTTTTTGCTTTTTATCATCTTTTGCCTGAGTTTAAAAAAAAATGTGTACGAAGTGTCTACTTTGAACAACGATGTTAAAAGATATCTGCTTAAAAAAATCGGAAATTACTTCAAACGTTTAGTTAAAATTATGAATAGCTCATATTAAAGAATCAAAGAAGTAATTAACCTCCAACCAAACACAGATAAAAAAAAAAAAGTTAGTTTTTGCTGTTTTACAGGGTTTTTTTCTGTCCTGAAATCGATTACACGGTCAACTTAAGGGTGTGCTTTTATGTAAAAGAATACAGAAAATAAATTATTTAACTGTCTGCAAATTGATGGGGACATTTTTTGTACATTCAAATTTTGAATTGTTATGCTAATAATTTAAATATACAAATTAAACAATTAAACTAGACATTAAACATTTCAGTTTGTTTAGGTGACGGTACATCTTTAAGACTTTGATGTAGTTATTATTGCTATACATTACATTACAGGGTCAGCTATTCTTTTTGGTACAAGTTTCTTAACGTCTTTAGTGTTTCCATAATAAATCATTTGTAAAATAAAACATTCGAGTAGCCTTTCTTTCAATCTGCTTTTTTATTTCAAATTGGGAAAGTAGATTAATTGCACATGGCTTTGCTTTCAAATAAAATCTATAAAATACAAGTTTCAGACAAAGAAATATATACGATACAATAGCATTAACAACATTTTTCATCACAGAACACAACAATAATGTTGTTAATATAAACAATTATTGCAACTGACATACATACAGTCCTTAAAAAAAACTGCTTTAGCGTGTGTCTTACATTGCTGATTGAAAAATTGATTATGAATTCGCATAAAATATGTGAATTATTGTTGACATTCAGTGTATAAATATAATTTAAAAGGAATACAACTTTAAGGTACAATATCAGTGAATTTTTCACTTGCTATTTTGTTGATTACAATGAAGAAAGTGACCGAAGCATTTGCTGAAACTTACTATTAGTTAAGCAACTAATTGGCTCAATAAAACATAATTTTTCTACTATACTTATGGAACCAGATGAAATTCTTTGAGAATATTTTGTTGATACCCACACCTAGCTACTCCGAAATGGTCGGTTTTTCTTGTTCATTTTGTTGCCGGGTTGGCTTGAATCCGCCAAATATTGTATACTTTACCTTGCTAATTTTGTATTACTGGATGGATGGATGTATTTGGCATAAACACCAAGGATAACCCACGAGAGTCTAAAGAAGACTTATTTCCAGTGGGTTCCTTCTGGTGGTGATTGGACAGTACACCTGGAGATAATCCCCTACATTTTTCTGAATAGTGTACTTCATTCTTTAACATGCACACGGGACCACGGTTTAAACCTCTTCTCCGGAAGACCGTGCGCTTTCATAGGCCTAACTTATATTTCAGCCCTCCAGCTTAAAACACAAGGAGAGCAGCGATGAGAATTGAACCGGGGACCAAGAGATATTTATGGTTCAACGCATACACAGTGGCTACCACTAGTTTAGCCGACTGAGATAAGCTGCTCAGTATCGGACCAAAACATGTTGAATAATACAAAACATCTACCATTACTAGGTCCCAATTTTCGACTTTTGTTGTTTCTGACACTAATCAAGGAAAAACCTAGTGGTAGTGTTTTCATTGTAGCGGTATATTTCACTATTTGATGGAACCAGTTTTCCACTGAACGATTTTACTTCACAGTGCGATACATCCAGTACGAACCCCCAATGCTGTGTTTCCATAAAATCGCTACACTGTCCTTTCATCATTTTCTATGCAATCGTGACACTGTGTACATCCACGATACAATCGGGAATTGAAGGCTTCCCGGTACAACCTACGTCATCATTCAACGTCACCAAAAGGTGTGTAGCGATTTTATGGGCGGAACCACACCTAATAGGCCTTGTGCTTAATATCTTGCTGTTTTTTAAATATTGTTTACAAAAAAAAAAAAAACACTCTTTTGTCATAGTCTTTCTATGACCTTACGTTTCTGCCAGCAAATTTTTAGATGTTTGTTGTAACGCGTCTGTAAAAAGCGGGGGGTTTTTTTTCGGTCCCAGTGACTGAAAGTTGATGACATGTTGCTCTAATAAATGTGCAATCCCCTTACTTAGTGGGTGGTAGTTACATCTTTTGGTACAAAAAACATGAAAATGTACTTATAACAAATCATGCAGCATCCAGTATCTGGTACCGTACCTGGCTGGATATTATGCCCAGCTAACAATTTCATGTTATAAAATTATAATAACATTCTATAAACTTCGCAGTTTGGTGGTCAAAGCGTTTGGAAGTTTTCGGCCATTTTAAGCTGTTCCGAGTCGCTTTAGGATGAAAATATTTTTTATCTCTTTTTTGGTCCGACAAGCCTTGCCAACGGGAAGGGGTCGTGGCATTTCAAGCGGGATCTTCCGCTAATAATGCCACTGCTTCTGCCATAGACAATGGTTTATATCTGCAGAGATTTTAAAAATCTAGGTTATTTCGGTTAATTTGGAAACCTATTATTACTATAAACACATTAGGCACGATCCCCAATAATAAATACAATTGTACCGTTGTAGAGTATACGTACTGTTAGGCTCATATATTAATGAGTAGAGGCCTACAGTTAGCAAAGTGGTACGCCTATATTTTCAGATTTTTGATTTATGGAATCGTTGATTCTCAACAGCGAAGACACTATACCAGAGGAAATGTGGCATAAGCTTTGTTTCCATAAAATCGTCACTGTTGCGACACGTAGCGACAGAGAAGGCTGCCAGATTTGACCGACCAATCAGCGTCGCCAAGTGTCGGCGATAGCGTGAAGAGATTCTATAGATATTTTAAAATTGTCAGTGTTAGTCGCTACAGTGACACAGACCTAAGCCCTACACAGAACGAAGTTTAAGGAAATAATATATCTACATTACTTTCTGTACTGTTTAATTTTTCTCGGCTCATTGCCATGTCTGTCCATTAAGACCATTAATTGTTCGATATTTTTTCTAAGAGAACTTCCTCATCTGCTTCCCCCATCCATACCAATATTTTTCGTGAGTATTCCTTTTGTTTATGTAATGCTGTGTATGTCAAACTTGACAAGAGTAGTTTACTTGATAGGGTATGTTGTAGCTCGTAATGACACTGTCACTATAGAAACTTAAATGCGTGAGCGAAGGCTGATGGTTCATGTTAGCCTGTGAAGTACTGTCAATCTGATTTTATCATACAATAATAAAATATAGAGCATTATGAAGGAAACGACTAAATATGTAGGGAACTACTTGTGAGATTTGCAGGCAATTAGTGTCACTTTACTAATAAGAAAACACGTCTAATATTAATAAGCCGGTTCGCAGCTGTTGAGCACCTTTTACAACAGCGAAACTAGTTCAGCGGCGCATGCGTAATACTAGTTCCATTGATGCAGGCTTATGGTACGCAATTTGCGCACTTAACACGCCTTAGAGTTACTCAACATTAGGCCAAAACGCGTACGTTCATACACACATAATGTAACATTTTTATATAAATATAATTAAACACGTTGAATATCTTGTTACTTTTCTGAGGCATTATACAACTGTAATGTTATGTGAACATTCAGGATTTAACATTAGTAGGGTCTAAGTGTATATCCACCTTGCCCCACCGTTGGATACTGGACAACTTTTTTGGCACCTGTTATGCCCTGAAATATATGCTTCCAGCCTGTAGAGCCGCCACTCCCACCCCTTCAAACAGTAGCCACAAGGTTTAAAGTTAGCATAGGATAGAGTCTATAGCCAACTCAACCCCACCTTGGTTGGAAATTATGGTACCTCTGGATGCCCGAATATAGCATGCGGCCTCTAGCCCTCCTCTTTTTCCTATATATATATATATATATATATATATACATTGCCATACAAGGTGTTTATTGTAACATGATTTATTGAAAAGGAGAGCCTGTCTCTGTGTTTATAATGCTTAAGATCAGGGCGTATCCACGCCTTAAGGCATCTATTTACACATGAATAAACAACAGAAATATGATAGCGTACCGGTACCTTTTCTAGCTGCATACGTCATCAACTGTGTTGCATAAGGCGTGGCGACAAGAGGATGGAGGCCATTTAGCCAACTTAACGGTCGAAAACCAGTTCTATGAACAAAAATGGATGGATGTTAAATAATGCCCTGATGTTTCTGGTATAATCTAGAAATCCTTTAGAAATTAAACAATTTATGCAATTAAAAGAATCAAATAAGTTACCCTTTCCAGGGAAAAACAAATCGAAGTTGTCTTTGTATTTAGTAAATAATATTATTGGACCCGAATTGTTTTAATATTGAATAATATAATACTATCATGTGAGCTTGCATATTTAATTTGGCATTATGCAATACATATAACTGAAATATACATATTATTACAATTTATTTCAAAATACCTCAAAATATGAAGTATACATAATACAAGTACCAGAAACACATCGAGATAATAGACCATACCATACCATACCACACCACACCATACCACCATACCATACCATAGGTCGTTGGGATTATTTCGGTAGCAAGAATATGAGTCGTATGCAAGGTACGTCCAGATACTGTCGACTTTGTATTAAGAACGACTAGTTAAATGCTTATATGGGAAAGTCGAGAAACCAAGGAATAATATTAATCAAACATCTCCTGAAAATACTTTCTTTTAGATTTATATATTTTCTTCAAATGTGTGCTGTAGCCTAGTGATGAGAACTGTAGTTCGAATTCAGTCATGACATACATTTATTCCACATATTGTGCTTTAAGTCTTGCTGGTTATGAAGAAATTAAAAAAAGATATTGTGTCTTTAGTATCAAATGTTTAAAAAATATTTCCAGGAAAGCAATGTTTCATAACCATCTACATTGAATAGGAAGTAATGCTAGTGATAGTATTGTGTTGAACCCACGTGCGTGATAAGACATATTTAGATTATAAATAGTCTAACACTTCAATCAGTGTGGGATATTACTTTGCAATAATTAAGAGACAACAGTCTTGCATTAACACTCTCAAGAAATCCTGTCAATTCTGGTCGATAATGTAACTCAGACCTACTTATCTTAGTAACATTCATGTTTTGCGACTTCTTGTATTAGCATACGAAAAAAAATCTCTCAAAAACATTTTTCCCACCCCCGTGCTGAACGTGCACTGGCTTGAAGAATTCAGTTAAATTTTTTTAAGCTGTTTGTGCCATCACGGGCCAATATCTGCTTGAATTACAACCGGCACACATAAATCACACAAAATTATAGCATATTAAATTAGAATAATATAAAATAAATGACAGCAGCACTTTTGAGACTAACAATATAGAAATTATTCTCTAGCTTTCGTCCACACAGTGGACTTCTTCATGAGACTGTACAAACGGGATAAGAAACAACTATAATATACAACAGTGCTAGACCTCCATTTCTGTTGTATATTATAGTTGTTTCCTATCCCGTTTGTACAGTCTGCTGATGAAGTAGTTGGGTAGAATGAAGGAAAAAAACGAGTGAATTGGTTGGAATGGGCAAGAAAGCATTTGAGTCATGAAAAATACATAGACGGCAGTGGGTGGTATGTAAAAGAAAAGTGCAGATGGATATCATCTTGGACTACCCACGACTCAGGAAAACATAGTATTAAAGATGGATTTTGATAGTGGGACGGATAAGTAGCGTGTGTGGTGTGGTGTTGACAGACAAGAGTTGAGAAAAAAGGTGTTCAATTTGACGTAGATGAAAAGAATCATAAGCTAATAAGCACGAAGCCAACGGTGCAGCATGCATATTTCATTTTTTTTTAAAGGGTTAAGATACGGTAGTGTTTTAAACATTGAACTATAAGAAATAATTTAATGCAAGATTTGTAGACTTTGATAACCCGGTGGTGCCATTTGAGATCGTTATTATGGAAATCCTAATGTATTTGATAGAGTCCAAAGTTTCTCTTTTGGTGGATAAAAATGGAAATGAAAGTGGGTTCAAGAAAGAATTCGCTAAGAAATAATCATTATTTTACATTTGTGAGTGACCAAGAGTCTACCGTTTAGTGAACCAGGCTCATAATTAGTTGATAATGCTACTTACTTATCAAAGGACATTGCTCCACCTAACATTACCGGTCGACTTAGGTAAGTTGACATTCTGTCAATACCATCTTTAGTGAGTGCAAGACCTCCGTCATCAGTAACATCTCCCCTGAGAGCCTCCTTTTCTTCATTTTCTGGGCATAAATTATTGTTCACTGATGTCGATTCTGGTTGGGAGACTAAAGCAATAGCGCCTCCGTTCAATGTTTCACTTGACGAGTTGGCAGGGTCCACTTTCTTTTCTTGTTTTATTCGCTCATGTTTTCGCCATTTCGCCCGTCTATTCTGAAACCACACCTGCAATACATCAATTTAAAAAAAAAAAATCGGTTGTCAGTTCATACATACTTGAATGCTTGACCGGAGAATTTGATTTTGGTTTATAATTGATTTTTATATTTCAATCTGTTTTCCTTTTATCTCATTTTCCAAACGTTCCAGAAAACAAGAAGAAAACAATGACAAATTATTTAAACAATACCTTTAAAACCCTATTCTGTAGAAGAAAATTTAGAGAGAACAGTACACCAACTTGGCCTCATAGCACAGTTGGTGGAACAACCGAACGGTGATAGAAGGACCTTGAGTTCGAACCAAATACATTTTTTCTCAAAGAAGTATTTATCACTGATTGAGCATTTTGCTTGAATGCTTGCCAGTCACCCACCGCTTACCCATTATTCAGCCATGGGAAATTTGTTCAAAACTCCAAAAGAGCGGACATAACCAAAGTGGACTAAACGTAAATACCAGACCTATTACTCAGATATTCTAAACACATCATTCCAGGAAGGAATAGTACCACACCGGTAAAAACGGAACATTGTCCTACCGTTAAGATTTAAAAGTCTGGAAACCGATGTCATTAACTGAATATTTCGCTAAAGAGACTGAATTCGCATTGCTGACTTTTTAATCGACAATTTTACTGATAATCAGTTCGGTAACCGCAAAAGAAGATCAGCACATCTTATTCTTAAGTATACTGCTATACCAGAATCTCTCTCATATTATTGTAACAGACTTTTCATTGAATAATTCATAATATATCGCGATCCCAGTTACAAAATGTACACCTTGCATGCGTAGGTTTTAATCTATTCTTTTATGAATACTGTAATGGTTTATTGAGACTTTTACGTATTCCCCATGTAATATTTTAATGTTCTTTTATTACATTGTTACTTTACCATCTTTATGAGAATATTGTATTATTTAACTTATTTCTGCCATTGCAATTGTAAATAAATTCTAGTCATTTCATTATAGGATTCAATGTCTTGTGGCATTCGGTATTTATATCATTTAAAGAAAAATGTTTACTTGCGTCATTATTCATGTAATTCACTTCCACTTCCTTTATTTTTTGTTCCATTCATTTTATTCCATTACACGCCTCTACCTAATACAATATTTTCATTCGTTGAATGAAGACGGATTGTTCTATTTGAAGAGAGGTGGCCTCAGTTTAATGGGTTTTTTAAATATTCAATATCAAACGTCAATAACTTATTTTAGGTGTATTTACTAAACAAACTATGTTTATTGTTATGCAATAAAAAGAATATTTTCATGAGTGGAATGGACTATTCCGACTAACTCTGCTCTCCACCTTGTTAAATGGAACAGTCCATGTTTCCACTCATAAGAATACTATATATACTTTATAGGCCTATATATGCCAATATATATATGTATATATACTGTCTCTTATATATATAGGAAATAAGACGCAAAAACTTAGGTATACATTTACCGTAAAAATTATTTGAAACGAACACAGCAATTTCGGGCTTCGCTCTTCTTATAATATGATATTTTAGAGCTATGCAAACATTACCGCAATACGTTTCAGATTATTTTGTTGCATGTTGTTCTAACGTAAAACGTGATACGGTACGTATCCTGTATGTTTTGCAGCTATATACTGTGGTTGGAATACGGTAGCCTTGTGTGGTACAAATTCAAAAGAAATGCAATAAAGCAGTTAGAGTTGAAAAGAAGGTGGTGTGATTTCAAACTACTTGATCCCGGGGCCACATTCTGCGTGTTCTGCTAAGTCGGCAACCTTCAAAAGGCCAATGATAGAATGTTCCAATTCCACTAACTGAAACGTTTATATTACACGACTTGTATTACTGACTTATGTATCGTATCATATCCACGGTATTTTGTTTTAATAAGACATTTTAGACAATTTTACATCGCCGTAAGCATGATCTGAATGGTTGCGACCTACTTCCATTAATAGTCTTAAATATATTTTCATTTATTAAATCTAGCCTTGTCATAGTAACTCGATCTTTTTCAAAATAATTCTCTAGAATTAGAATTGCGGATCATAAATAGCATACCTAATTGACGAAGTAGTTGATTTCTGCGCACTTGTCTTCAGTCCGTCCGCAGGTTCCATCGGGTTTGGTAATGTTGATAGTCATATATGTACCGTTGTTGGATGAGTATCCAAATCAAATCCATAAATACGAATTAGTTTTGAGTTTTAACAGATATTACAAGAAGTAGTACGAGAAACAATATATATGTAGGGTGGAACCGAATCTTTGAGGACAATTGTGAATCTATGTTACACATGAATTCAACGTCTCAGTGTATACTGTGTATGGATAAGATAAAGGCAGCATATTGGGGCCTATAGGATGTGAAATTTTACAGTAATTAAGCAATGCATTTCTAGTAAAAGCGTTTTTTTTTTTGCAATTTAGCATGATATGTGCTCAGTAAATAGACAATAAAATGTTTTGCAATTGCACCGTCAAACACGATTGGCGTGTTGTATTGTCATTAAAATGGGTGGTCTGTCATTTATGATCCATTATTTCTCTACGGGTAAACTGGCGGTCCGCGAATGCAAATATGTAGGGAACCACTGCTCTACAGTATGAGCAATTCTATCTCTAAAGCTCAGGGACACCGAGTGAAGAGCTGATCAATCAGGACCCTCTACGTATTGAACCATTTCAGTTGTCATCGTCTACAGCTTATCATTATTAGGCAGAATGTGTTCTTCGTGAAGAGCATTTCAAATTAATTTTATTATTGAAAAGAAAAGAATTTTATAGATTAAACCATCCAACCTAAGTGAAACAATATAACAAGTCATTGTATTTTGCAATGTTTGGTGTCATTTTTGTAAGGCGGTAGATTCGAAATCTTCTAATACCGCTTTAAATGTGTATTTCTAAACTGTTATAGAAATATTGCATTAATTATGTTATTTCTTATAAATTTCATTTTGGTAACTTTAACCTCTAAAGTAGACTATGGTTATGGTTATCATTTTAATTTTATAGAGCCAATCAAATTCTACATTTGCTTCACGCACAGGTCAACGCTGCAAACGCACACACTTATTCTCACCCATTCTTTTACCAGATAACCAACTAAAGTACAACATTATTCAGACCAAAATTATATACAAATGTCATTTCTGTTTTTAATTTGAAACCAATTATGACCTGTGCGGTTGCAGAATAATCATTTCAAAGTGAAGTTGTTGACTCTCACCATCAGTACAACCTGATTGAAAAGAACACAGAAATTATCCTTTTGGCAAATAAGGTGAGTGACGTCAAATAGAAATATTATAAGGGAGCTTTTGATTGCACGACGACGGTAGGACGTACGGTAGTGCGTAATGACTTCAGTAAAAGTCATCTGCGCATGCGAGAACGTTAAGTTCACCTCATCGAGTAGATTCTGAAACGCAATTTGGCCAAATCTACGTATGCAGAGAACGTAGGACTCCAGGTAGGACGGTCACGCATGAGTGATTCCGTTCTAGCGTTGCGTTGTCGCACAAATCGAAAGCTTCCTATTAAGAAACGTGGAGGCTTTACACCCTGACCTCTGATGATTAGTGTACAAAATTTAATACAAACTTGTAAAGTATCATTGTTATATAATTTTACGTACAATCGTTGATCGCTCCGGATCTGTTTGCTTTTCTTCCTTCTTCTTAACTTTTTTGTAGACCTCAATAAACGATAAAATAATTGTAACATTATTTACTTATTGCTTTATTTAAATATTATTAAATATAAACTTTACTGATTGTTTCCTCTATATTTGTATTTTTAATTTAATACTTAAACAATTATAATTATTAAATTAAGCTCTAAATGTAAATTTACGTAGATTGGATTAATACAAAATGAACATAGTAATCCTTATCTATTCATCTCATTAATAGGAATAACATTTTTCAATCTTCTAATCAATTTTATTTAGCCTGAGTTAGCTTTCACCTAGGCGAACATTGCTAAAAAGGTACACTTTCTCCATCTAAAGGCTTCTTCTAAGAATGGAATGACCTGTTACAAGCACGAACTCCTGTACACCAAACCCAGTACCGTTACAATTTTTAGTCGTACGGGAAATCCACTCATGAGCAACTGGACTAGTGTGAGAGATTTGAAAGATAACGGTAAGAATTATGAGCAAAGCAGTATGAAAGGATCGATTAAATATACCTTTTCTAATAATTAAAATCACAGCAGAGTGGATTTAAAATGAGAAAGCGACATATCAATTGGCCTACTAATCTATTTCAAATTTAAAAGAAATTGGAAAAAATCTTGAGGGTAAGTTGGTTCTGGTCTTAATAATAATAATAATAATAATTCCACTATCAGTAATGTATAAAAATAGGTTTAATTTATTAAAATGGTAAACATGAATGGTAAAACTTAAGGGAAAATCTAGTTTGGAATTATGGGCCCTAGCTCAGTTAGTGTAATTGAACGGTTGGTCTTGGGGAATGTACGGTACATTAAAAACCCGTTTATCATTTTGTTAATAAAGTTAATTTTATCTTAATATTGCTTACACTGTGCACTGTCCTACGGTTAAATCATGCAAATTGTCCTGCGCTTCCTAAGTGGATTTAGGCGTTATAGGCCCGTTTGTCACTGGTCGATATCATTAGGATTTACATCATGCTTTGCGTAGTAACGATTAGTGAAATCCACTAGATTACTCTAACTTTAAAAGGGGTATTTATTGGGTTCTTCCATTAACTTTAATTGCAAAAATATTGTCGGAATGCACTATTCTTACACAAGAGAATATATTATGAAATGACTGTTCTGTTCTGTTCCTGTCTAAGTCTTATTACGTGGAGTTCTCTGTCTCTTATACACATCTAGATGTGTATAAGAGACAGGTGTATGTGTGTGCGAGTGTGTAAATAGATGCCCCAACTGGGATTTAAACCAGGAGTACTATGTTGTTTACGCAGACGCTTAAGCAAAATATGGGCGACTGGGACTTCGTTGGAATTCTCGTGCGATTTAAAACAATAAATGTTAAACTTTTTTTTTCACGTGGGTGATGGAGCACGCACTCCGAATAACAGTAATCAATAGATAGGATAAGACGGGATCTTCAAAAGATCCTTTTTAAATAAATCATGGTATTATAACATAAATAGACAAACTTTAACCAGCCTTATTGTAGTGATATTAGTAATATCTGCGAGCCTAAAAACATTGCCCCAGCAGGGACTCAAACCCGGGACCTTGCAGAAGGACCCTGGTTTCACACTCGTAAAAATGTCCATTAACGTTCAATCGGTGGGTACCTTAGACAGTAGTTTGGAAACTCCTAAATAATGATATTAATCATATTCTAACTAAGCAAAATTATAAATTGGTGAGATAGCTGCAGAACGGTGTGTTATAGTACTAGTTTTCATATTAATAATAATTCTTCATATTTTAGGCAGCACTAGTGTCCACCATTAAGCTTTTGCCTGCACCATTTTTGCTTGAAAATGAACGGAGAAAAAAAAGACCCAGTCATGGCGGCTGGGTCCGAGTAGCGCGAGCCCAGAGGGGATACTAAGGCAAATCCACGCTTCGGTGTTTCTCAAGTGTTAAGACGTATTTTGATTGTGTTTTACATGTTCTACTCCTTAAGAAGCACTGCTCGGCTGATTTGGGGCAAAAATGAAAAATGCTGATAAATATCCCAGGGCTTCCTAAAATCAGTTCCCCTGGCTTTATGCATAAGCAGTTAAATATAACTATAGAGCGTAAGTTGGGTACGACGATAAAAAATCATAAAACGAGGTTCATATCGCGGCCAACGAATACATCTTCATTCTGTGAGCACTTGGCTTGGCAACTTATCCAATATTTTATATTTATTTTTGGTTTTTTAATAGGGATTTTGATTTCCAGAATAAAGGTTGTTTGATTGATGGCATTCTGAGCGAATCGTTTTGTGCGTCTCCTCCTCACGTTGCGTTCTCTGTGAATCGCCGTCGGCGGGGTGTGTGCCCAGTTCTTGCTGTAGGCCTAATTTCCGATATGTACGAATTGCGATGATGGAACTTGTTGTATTAGGCTCTAAAACAATTGGCCCTAAGGATGTAGTGTCCTATGCTAAATTTTTTTTAAATCATAAAAATATTTTTTTTAATTAACTTGCCCATTGTGAAGTAACAATAAAAGTTGTCTACCCATCAGTTTACAGCGAAAAATAATAGAAACACTTCCAGTTACTGGAAATGTTTTATTATTTTTATTATAATTTGTTGGTTTAAAAATCAGGGTACACATTTTTTAAATTCAATAATTTCTATGCACATTTGTATCTTATTGCAAAATGAGCAAGTTTATTTCAAACATATTTTTTTATGATTTTTCGACATTAGCAAGGGACAATACATCTTTAAATTCTAAAATGAATGTAAATTGTGTCCATTGTGGGCGGGTGGGGATGTTGTGCCAAAGTTCTTAGACTGCACATGAAAGACGTAGTGGTTGGTGATAGATAGCACTCACATTATATCAGGTCAATTTGACAGATGCCGCCCGTTATTCTTCTGGCTGGCAAACTTATTATCAGCGACTGAACAAACTTGTTAATTCAATTGATCTTTTGCTGTTTGTAAGAATTACTCACGTGTTTTGACTTATTGCTTCTACACTAATCATTATACATAATTATGTATTTAATTTCATAATGACTGGGTTCCTATGCTCCAATGCCACTTTAAAGTTTAATTTACACTTCCCGAAAAAAAATTAAGACCACATTTTGTGAAACAATTAGCAAACCTAAAACATCAGAGGGCCTTGTCTTTTGGAATTAAAATAATGATTTAGTAGGGTTAGTCGCTTAGGCTATCCAGTGAAATGAATTACTTAAAATGCTTCAAATGTGCTTCAAACGAAGGCACAATTTTTTATTGAATATTATGAAAATCGTATACACAAAAAAAATGTCACTGTAAGTCCAGAAAATATCTGCCCACTGATTTCTGCTCGTTAAGATTACAGTATATTTATGTAGTTATTACTCATTAATATTATATTCTGCTTTGTGCATCGACTTGTGTCGATCGCCTCCGTGCAAAAGTATCACAGTGACATCTAGCACAGCCAGATGCACGATTAATAATTATATGTGTAGGCAATTAAGTTATTATCATTATTAGTCAAATGAAATACAGAGGCGGCAGCAAATAAAGAAAAGATTGAAATATCTACGTTAAAATGACATTTCAATAAGCGCATAATGTGCTATTGTCAATCAGTTTGTATATTGTTATTATGCCAATGTTGGAACAAGATTAAAAGTCGATATGATCCACCAATGTATTATCATCAAGCACTAGGATATATTGCGGCATTATCTGAGTGGTATTGGCAACGATTAAGGAAATTGATAACACTGAAATAACTATAATACTAATACCATTAATTTCTTGTTAGCAGCAAGGGCGTGTCACATATCACGATGGCAACGCCGGTCACGCGGTTGTTTCTATGGCGATGTCACTCACATTGTGGGTGTTTTCCTAGCAGCCAAATCATGACAAACAACACACACATTTACCATTACCGTAATTAACTAATCAAATTACAACATTATTTTCCGGACAACCTATGTCTAATAATTTTAAGAGACCAATTGCTGCAAATAATAAATGGATCTCCAATTTGTTGCACTCAAAATCTCAATTTAATGAGGATTATCTAATTGCGTAATTAATCTAATATCCTCAATTATATAGTCGGGTTATTTAATCTATCATTCTGTACTAGCGTTAGCGAAGTTAGTTTAAGGAAAACTGAGTTAATGTAATTTGGACATGTGTAGGAGAAATACCGTAGATATTACATTCTTGGCTCAGACGGATAACAATTTACAATTTTGAACTCACGAATAATTTTCTAATGTTAAAATAAGATTACGTACTCGGAAGGATAGTGTTAACTTGTTTTAATTTATTTAAGACGAGTTCAAATTTGCCAGTCATACATATTGGACAAACAAAACATTTTTTTTTTCAATTGATACCGGTAAGTTTGTTAAGTGCTGCAACGCTACGAGGATAAGGGATTGGTTCGAGAGGGGTATTTACAAGGGCTATATTATCACCGAGGTTATTACGCAAACTACGGCCGATTAAAACAGCCTTTAGCTCATATCTATAGATAGATATACATTTTGGACTTTACATACCATACGTTTATAAACCTAATAATAATGTATACTGATAAAATGCGTTTGTAAACTTTATAATGATGTTTACCGGTATAGATTTGATATACAGTAATTCATTGGAGTTACAAGACAAATCGCTTCGACTTTATTCGGAAGATGCATATGAGGTATATGCGGCAGGCCTACATTATGAGTTACCATCAAAATTGTATATCTGATTTTATATGTTATAAGTACCTAGTTTCAAATGTTGTTTCATTCGTTAGCTATTATGCGAATTAAATTTAATATGAATTAAAAGCGGCATTTCTTCTCTTAATGTCGAAACGCAGTCGAACTTACATCAACGTGAACTTGTAACCTCGATTGGAGTTGTGAAAATTAATGGACTAATAATAATAAAAGCAATCGTCATTACTCTAATATTGGCGGACCATACATCGTTAGGTTTATGATGATAGATCGCGAAAATAAAAGTGTTTGATGTCGTTACGGTACTGAAGATGATAATGGGAAAGTTATTGAAATAATGAAGTAATTAATCATATTATGAAATAGCGTTAATTAGCTACATCGTGTCGTGGTGCCTTCTGTCCAAATAATTTCAGGGTGATTTAGTTGTTGTCATTTGTAATAGTCTGCAGAGAAGTAAATCCATCATTTCTTTATTGATTTACTGTATTTTAAAGGCATACTACCTTAAAATGTTAAACAAAGGGAAGCGTATAAATCAGATCATAAGAAGTATGGTGGTTAAGTAATCGCCATACCCACATCTCTTAAGTCTTATTACGTGGAGTTCTTGAGTGACAGTACGCTTTTTATGGTGTAAACTGATGCGTACCTAAAAATGAGGATAGCAAATAGCCCTAATTTATTTATTTATTTTACATTTCATATAACAGAAAAATACAAAATTCACAATGGACTTATTTGTGGTTTTGGAAAAAAAAAACCGTCTTCTAGGATGGAGTATAGGAATCCACTGCCTCTAAGTGAAGCGCCTTAATCATTAGTTCGGTAACGAATACGAATACGTCATCATGATCGTCATTCGTGCCTGAAACATTCTCGACAGTATGCTGTACGAGCTGCATATGATCCTTGATTCATGCAAAAAACATTAATCGCCTACGTTGTGAAAGATATGCTACCGTAGGAGAAGAGTAACAATTTGATGACGTCTCCGTATTCGTTATCGTTTCTGTAAGCTTGCGAAAACTCCCTATTAGGCCTATTGACTGACTCTTGAATGAACAAAACACTTTTATCACTGTAAGACATAAAGTAGCATGCCTATACAAATGTAGGCCTATAATGTATTCGTGTGGACATAATTGGTATAGAAACACTAATATATTAATATGTTTAGCGTATTACAGTATCTCGAAGGGGAGACTTAATCAGATAAGACCAATTAAAGTATAATATGAATATAATATATTTTAATCTTGGAATTTTAAACATAACTCTTGGGGAAAAACAAGAATACAATTAGTAAATAAATGAACACATTTTTGACGTGAAACTTACCTGAACTCTGGCTTCTGTGAGATTAATGCGCATGGCCAGGTCCTCGCGTGTGAACACATCCGGGTAGTGAGTTTTAGCGAAAGCACTCTCCAGCTCCTCTAGCTACACAAACACACACAATAAATCATTAATTAATTGCTTGTCTGTTTTAATTACACAAAATACTTTTAATATGTTATTAAACGTGATCTGAAAAACACCTCCATCCTCGATGTATATATTTATGTGGCCTATCAATATAGGCCTAGATAAAAATAACAATTTATCATCTATGTAGATTTTTCACTGATGACAATGAAGAGATTACGAGCACTATTCAAAAACTTATTATAAAATTAATTTTATTGATTATGTGAAGATAAGGATAATGGTATGATAATGAAGATGAACGATATTGACAAGATGATAAAATTGGTATTTGGACAAACGATGCTAATGGCAATAAGACCAATTAGGTCTACACAAAGTTTAATTATGATGTTAATTATACTACTGACATTGGTGGCAATAAACATGACATTAAAGATGACAATGGTCTATCTATAGCTAAACTGAGACTCATGGAGAATTGACAATGATGGTGACACGATGTCAATGACAGTGACAATGTGGTAATGGTAAAGATGTAGCACTGGAAATATTAGCACAGGTAATGAAAAATACAGTGATAAAAAAAATGATTAACATTGTTTTCTGGTAGTCACCCTATCAGGTATTGTTGATTCGAATGTACTGTTATGTGTGTGAAAGTACAATGACACGACTAGAACCAGACTAAAGGCCAACTCGCGTCGTAAAATATTAAACATGTTTAATATTTCTCACGACTGCTCAAGACTGTCCCCAACGATGAATCGCGTCGGGCTGCGTCGTACGACGCTGTCTGAGTTGGCCTTTACAGAACTTCAAGTTAAGAGAACATGTTGCATACCGGCACTGTGTATCTCGTCAGTCTATGTATCATTGACCAGAAAAAAAAAAACTTTTATACTTAATGGGACTAAATGTATTAGAACCCTATATAAATACTTAGGCCTACTGTATGAAGATAGCGATGGTGACACTGTAAAAAATGACAATGGTGGTGACAATGCATTTACTGACAAAGATGTTTAGTAACTATGTGAAAGTGACATTAAAATACAGTTAAATAACATAATGGTTGTGACAATGATGGTGACATTTTAGGTTACTTTACTGCATTTATGACACATAAGTAACACTGAAAGTGACCATGTGATAGTGCCAATACTATAATGGCAAAACGGTACGACTGTCAAGATGAAAGTGAAGATGACAATGTAGACTTGACAGTTATGACGATTGCACTGTATGACGATATCGACTCATAGTTCTCACTGTGGTGACGACAAATATGGTTGCATTATGTAGATGACATTGGCAGTAACAACATTGACACTGTAAAAAGTAAGTTATACGGTAGAGATGATAGGCCTAATGGTGTAACATGAAAGGCGGTTGTGACTGGTTTTGAAGATACCCATGATAGAGAATGTAAGGAAGATTATATTTTTAACAATGTAAGAGATGGCAAAGACAGATAATTAGAGAGGGTCATGATGTGTGACTGTGGTCACACATCTATAATTAGTATAGACAAGATGGTAATACTGTAGGGTGGGGCTTAATAATGACATTGGAGTGGAAAACGATGTGGTTGAAGACAATCAGGGTGTCACTGCAGGGGATAACGTTGGTTTTAAGGTGCCATTAAACACAAAAGTTTAAATACTGTATAAATACCTGTTGCATTGTAAATGTTGTTCTGTTGCGACGCTGCTTCCTCCTGTTGAAATTCTCGTCAAAATCGGCACTACCAGGGTTCATATCACTATCTTAATACACAGAAAAGGATAAATAAGAAACATATATCAGTAGTAGTTAGTGCAGTAGTAATAGCAGCAGCAGCAGTAGCAGTACGTAGTAGTGGTAGTAGCAGCAGTAGTAGCAGTACTAGTAGTGGTGGTGGTGGCAGCGGTGGTGGTGGTGAAAGTGTACTGGAAGTAGCATTAACAGCAGCTGTAGAGTAGTAGTAGGATTAGCAGCAGCAACAGAATTAGTTATCAGACTGGTAACATATTTAAGTAAAAAATGTAGCAGTTTACACAAATTGTGTTAAAACTATCTGTAGTCCTATAATGAAAAGTTGACAGAAAGTAACGCACCACAGTCACGCATGAAACGAGCATTGTTGAAGAAACACTGCATTTGATATTGATGAGAATAGCCCTGCGCGTCACTGGCTCATCAACAACGTTCAAGCAGAGAGGTGGTTCAAGGAAAAATACATTGCAAAAACACTTCACTAGAGAGTCTCGCGTAATCAACACTAATCGGATTGCCTTATTAAATAATGCATAACTAATGGCTCATTAGAATGCTTCTTATCAAATTAGAGAGGTTTCCAGCTTTTTGGAAATTATTTATAGCCCAACATTCACCATGAACTTATTTGTTTTTAGCTTTTCATTTCTTTTTATTCTTCCATATTTTGTCAATAGGCATATAGCCTTTCAATCACTTATTAGATATCTCGAACATAGACATGTAGATATACAGCAGGCTTACGGTATAATAATGTGTAGAAACGCGTCGAACATTATGCTACATGTTGAGCCTATACGTATAGTGTTGGATGTTCTAACGTTCTTTCTCAGTTTAATGTGCCCAAACATTAGGCCTGTGCAATATGCGAAAATATTTTGAATATCAAGATACGGGAAATGGAAAACAATGCATTAATATAATTTTTAGGCTGTAAGGTGATCGTGGGCATGCTGGCCACGATATAACAAGAAAACCTCGGCAATGTCGATGATTTGCCGTGACCGACGTAGCTTCTTAAGCATGTGCCCCTTTAGAGAATTGGTTTTCAATTTGCTTGGACGTGAAACGAGGCGTCCATAATGCAAGTAAAGCACGGCTGGATAAGCATACTGACTCAAGGTGAGAAAACTCGGCTATAATTGAAACACATTGCTGATTATTATAGATGAGAATTGACTGGAAATTATCCAAACTCTTCGTAGTCCAATTCATTATCCATACCCGTAATTGCATTACCAATGGTGCGTTTATAATAATCGGTGTTTCTCGATAATTTGGAGGAAATTGATGGGGAGTTGTCGGTGAGAACGTCGTCATAAAACACTTGAACATGAACTTATCCAAGCTAGATTATGTTGCAAATAGATTTGAAAGTAGCTATCAACTTCATCAAATTGTTTTAAGGCCCTATAGTAAAATACAGTGATCACCAGATCTACAACTACCACACCTTCAAATTGCACTTCTCTTAAATTTAGACGCGGGGGCGGATCCGAGAAAAATCTGGGTAGGGCCGTGAGGTGTGCGAAGCACCGAACCGAGGAAGGGGGAATAAGGATGAGTGAGACATAGTCAATTGTAAAATAAATTCAATACGAGTTACACAAATTACAACCTTTAGCGGTATCATTGCTATTTTCTTTTCTCCCCCCACCCCCACCCACCAGCTCCTCTTTTCTTTTCTTTTCTCCTTCTCTATCTCTCTCTCTCTCTCTTTCTTTTTTGGGGATGGAGCTCTAGTCACATGGCCCTTTCAGATTCGCCCCTTGTTAAACTTAAAGCAATCCATTAACGCTAACTGAAGAGTTCCCGAATAAAACAAAAACATCTAATACTTTAAAGTACAACATTATTTAACAAAACGATGATACCCACAATAATTATCGACCTAGATACAGTATAGATGTAAATCATTACATTTTTATATTAAACAAAAAAACAATAAAATATTACAACCAATATATACTTGTAATTTTAATTGCGTGCAAAATTAATTTTAGTAATTTAAGTCAAGCTTACCGGTAAGTCGTATTTATTTTAATTTTAATAATTAATTTATTATAACACTAATAAACAAAGGCATCAGAATGATCTATTTAAAAAAAATAACAATAATATGATGATGGTGATGATAGTGGTGATGATGACCTAAAGTTAACATTAATGATAATTAAGAGAATGTATAGTAATATTTCAGTTGTTCTAAAACAAATTTGTACAAATTCAAATATTATAAAAATATACTAAACATATTTGTTTCTGTATTCTTCAACGGTGGCGCCATTGGGTGGGTGAGGTGAGGATTAAATAAGCCTCTCTGGAAACCACTAAATAGTCATATTTTTCGGGGGCTTCGCCTCTGGACCACTTTCCAAAAAAATTTTCCAAAAGTGATGTCCGACCACACCCACTTTGCTCTCGTTGGGTATATCGGCCTCTCGTCGGGGACATCGACCCCGCGTCGGGTAGGTACTAGCGCCACCCCTGGTGTTCTCGAACATTACTTAAGAACATTACCTGGTCCGACGTAGCCTTGTTATCATATTATCATAATTATTGGTTTAATTTATATAAATTTGAGGCATTATTAATAAACTTTATCCAATTATTTATAACAAAAATATAAACGTACTCTTATGGTTATAAGGGTATCAACTGAGTGGAAGCAATTATTTCAATTAACGGTTAACTTAATAATCAAAACACTAAAGTTATTCATACAATTCAAAGCTTGTACATTTGTAAGATCTTGTTATTTTTTTCCTTTCTTAATTATATACTTGGGCTGAATAAAGAATGAATACTGCATGCATTACGGTGTGTAATAATTTCATCAGAGGTGACATTATAATTAAAGAAACACAGATGCATCCCAGCTGTGTATTTGTCACATTATGGCGATACGATCGTACATGATAATTTCTGTTGTTCATATTCTCTCTTATATGAGGTAAAGGGAATAAAACTATTGTGTTCATCATTAATCGTTACCTTAATAATAGCCCTACTCTCTTTAAACTTCACCTTATTGACGATATGAATTTCCCTTATAACGTTAGAGAGATTATTTACATAAAACAAAAATACAATATACTTGTTACTTGTTACTTGTTACTAGTATAGCGCCTTTCTTTTCAGTTATGAAGCGCTCAATATAATAATACAGTTTTTGAATACATTATCAATTCAATATTCTAAACCTTTTTCTTGTATAAATAAGAAAATATTCTTTAATATCTGTTGGCCTATATAAAGTATGATTGTCCAAATAAGTTTCAGTAAATCGCTTTAAACGTATCAATTTCCACGACATAATGTTTGTAAGCAGCTTTAAAGAGTATGGTAAACAATACAAAACTGTGAAGCATAGTCGGTTGCTAGCCTTTATGTATCATGAAAAAGTAATTGTTCCGACTGGTAAATATGAGTCGAATTATAAGTTAACTTCGTTGTTTTCGAAAATAGCTATTGTTTACACTGTTTCATCACTGCGGAAGACAACTAAGCACAAGATAAGCAGACGGGTCTGTCAAGTTACCGATAGCATCATTAATTTGAGCACGACTACAGAGAAAAATGCAATGAGGCGGGATTCGTTTCTCTGTTGTCCATTGCTGCCTGCGGCCCGATATAATTTCTCGCGTTATTAGATCGATGTAATTAATGTAATTGAGAAGCGGTGCAAATAGATAATGATAGCCAACTTATTGAATAACGCATATAGAACTATTAGTGGTATTATTAGTGAATTAGCTCCCAATGACTTCATTCGGGCTAATGCAACGATGTAGCGGCGATATGTTTCTTCGCCAGGAACATGTGACCCGCCCTGTAAATCATCCACTTGTGTGTAGATTCAGTACGCAACTCTACGAAATGAGAACATATTAACAGAATACATACACTATTTGCAATGCAGATCCACAAAGCAAAACACGTGAAAACAATGTATTAAGTAAATAAAAAAATTAGTAAAATGAGACTAAATAGAATCAAATAGGGGAGAGGAGTTACTGTAAGTACAGTCGTTGCTAATTCCATAAACCTCATGAGCACTACTTAAAAACACAACAATGCTATTTTTGTGAGCGTTAATGTTCATTAAAGATTAAACCTAAATTCTCTAAACAATAGCCCTGACGATTTTATGATTTTGTGTTTTGTTTTGTTTTGTTTTTTGTTTTTTTTTAATATCGGCTGAATGACCAATTACTATGATAACGAAACTAAAATCTATCTAGCGGTAGTCTATAATAAATACATTTCTTAACTGGTAAGGCCTACTTATTGAGAATGCAAGCCGTTGGGATATTTTTACAGTAAATGAACACTATATAATTATGTTGTTTCAGGTATTATGAGTGGATGATATTTTTTATATAGAATATTGTATGTTATGTTTTAGTCAATAAGATTCCAATAAATACAATAGTATGTACTAGGTTAGGCATAGGTATTTCATGTTCCAGCTTGGAGTAAAACAACTTAAGCTTTATGTTTTGACCAATGTGTCTAACAAACTTATGACTATTATCAATCTGAATTCTTAATTTTGTAATAAATAAATAATACAAAGATCCCACTTGACAATCTGAGCGTTAAAAAAGAGAAACCTTTGATTACGAAAAAGGTGCCCCAAGCTGGATGCGAACCCGGGACCTTCCGCTATCTATACAGACTGGGCCACTGAGGCTTAATTGGGAATTCGAATCCGACTGGGAACAACAAATTTTACACTATTCAGCACATGCGTATATCAACGCTAGTTCCCAACGCACTGCTAATGACAAAAATCAATACAATAAGCCCTTTTATATGACATCCGTCATATATAGATCATCATACAATAAAGAAATAAACTATAAATGGTTTTAGTCTAACATTTTAAATGCAAATTTTGAGGAGACTGCTAGTGCAAATGTCGCTCCAATCCAGAATTCAAACCCAGGACATTCTGCTGTCTATGCAGAAGTCTTAACCAACTAGGCAATTGAGGCTTCTTTGGAGATTCAAATCCCATTAAAGCAACTGATCTTTCACACTCTTTAGTTTATGCCTAGTTGAACAGCACTAGTTATCGATACATTGCAAATGACAGATCAATATGATACGCCCTCTATATA